AGCCCGGCGATGGCCGTGGCAGTGGGGAAGCGGTGAGGCGGTCGCGGTGCTGCCCCAGCCACGCATCCTCCCGGTCTCCCTCTTCCCTCTCCGGCCCCAGGGTGGGTTTTTGCCACGCTGCGGCTGCTGTACGAGGCAGGTCTGTGCCCTGTGGCCAGATCCGCATATGCCTCTGTGCCAGCTTTCCCCTAAAATAATCCTCCTCTAAAACACAATGAAGCTGGGGTGTTGGAGGGAATTTTGCGGTACCCGTGGCAGCTGCTGCGGAGAAGCGGCTGTCACCAGGCACTTCATCTTAACTCTGGATCGATCGGGACGTAAATACGCCGGCTCCGGTTTGATAATATTCGCAGAGCAGGGTGGCTGTAGGCCTGACGGTGACTCTCCCCTGCGTGATCCCACCCGTGCTGCAGTGTCGGACGGGGCTGGAAGGGAAATCCTGGGGCACTGAGCTCTGCTTCCCGTTGTCGTGGGTAACGGCCTGTGTCAGAAACCAGAGGAGAAGGCAGAGGGAAGGGCACTGCAGAGCTGCTTCGGTGGCGCTGGCAGTGTGGAGGGTGCGATGGCAGGACTGGGAACGCCTCTGCGTGTTTCAGTCCTTGGGATTGTTATTGTATGTTGTATGTGCCAAAAAATGCCTGTGATTGAAACCGTATCAAACGAAATCCACGTCCCTCGAGGACAGGCAAGAAAGAAACGAACTGAATTTTTAACCCCGTGCTGTGAATCTTAATTTTCCGTGATTTATATAGTTTCTTTATCAACGGACGCTTTCACAACAGGATTTACCAAGAGGGCTCCGAGGCCAGCGCCGCCGTAGTGGCCGTCGAAACCCACACCATCCACAAGCTAGAAGAAGGGATCGGTGAGTTCCCGCTCGGCGTGGGCAGAATCCCCTCCTCTGCAGGGCTGGTCGCCGCTGAGCTGGTGTCTCCGGTTCGCGGGGCTTCCTTCTGGCTCTGCCCCTGCAGATGCTGTTTCCCAGGCATGGATGTGGGTGCAGGGTCTGGGCATACTCTGGAATAAGAGTCTGCTGTTACTGCTTGGTCTCAAAGTCCTGGAACTGAGATCCTGGCTCTCCTGCAATGAATGGTAAGGGCTCCCACGGGGTCCAGGGGAGCCGAGATTTCACCCTAGCCTTGGTGTGCAGACGCTAGCAGGCAGGAATGGTGGTTATGAGGATGGGCGGTTGTGTCTGCCGCTGGCTTGAAGCGTCAGGCTCTGGGTGCTGGGTCTTTGCTGAACGAACAGCCTGGCGGTTTGGGTTGGGCGTTCAGAAGAACCGAGCAGGTTGGCTCCGAGTGCTCCCTGCCGTCCTGAGGGGTATGTGGGAAAAGGCTCCTGCCGTTAGGTGCTGTCACTAGATCTTGCCCGGTGTTCTGCTTCCTGTGTGGGTGTGGGTCTTTTGGCAGTACTGGCAGAAACTCTGCGTGTGAAGAGAACATATTATCAGTAAATATCTGATATCGCTGCTAAAGAGATACCAGAGCTCCAAGAAATCTGAGAGATGTCTGCGCTTCAAATTTTAGAGTGTTTTGTTTCCACGAAGATTGTTCTCGTTGACACCCCCCCCCTTAACAGATGTGTTGGATTTCTGATCTCGCGTTCTCTTGGTAGATGAGCTTCATTTTGAGCATTGCTATATTAAAAAGGAGATGCCAGCTGCTGTTAGAGCTAGTAATTGGAGAAGACTGAAAGAGGACTGATCCTGAGCTGGGATCGGCCCTTCTTTTGGTTTCCTGAGTGTAGGTCTCGCAGCCTGTGAGCTTTCAGCTCCCGCCTCGTGGGATTTGAGCCTCTTGGGTGGAAAGTTTCATTTTCACCCGTTCCTCCCTCAGACCCCAGCACCATCGAAACGAACGAGGAAATCGAGATCGCCTATCCCATCACCTGCGGGGAGAGCAAAGCCATCCTGCTCTGGAAGAAGTTCGTCTGTCCGGGAATTAATGTCAAGTGTGTAAAGGTAAGGGAGTTTTCGCAGCGGGTTCCTTCTCTGCTCTCAAGGTCTGGTGCTTGACCTCCTCAGGACTTTCTTACTTTTTGTTTCATCTGAGCCTTGTCCCGGAGCCGAGTGACTTTGCCTTTGCAGCGTGCTGGATTGTTAGCGCTAAAATTGCTTCTGGCACGGGGAGAAGCGAGGGGAGGAGTGGGTTAAGGAGTGAAGGCCTATCACCCGCCTTATATTTCAGTGCTGCTCTCGATTACTGTTTAAAGCAGAGTGGTATTTGGCACTTGACGAGGGACTTGGAGCTGAAGGCAAGCAGGGGATGCGTACTGAGATCTGTCAGAGCTTTTCTTCCCTGTCTCTTTC